CAGCTAAAGGTGACATAGATACTTTATTGTAGTATAGTATTTAAATATATATGCCTGAGGAACACATAATATTGGCCCTTTAAAGAGAGCTGTCCATGCTCAGAAACCATCAAACCTGAATGAACCAGAGATGTTTTGTAAAGAAGACAATCCAGACTCTCATTAGAAGCTGTAGGAAGTGTTTAGAGGCTGTTATTTCTGCGATAGGAGGAGCTACTAAATATTGAGGTAAGTTTTTTTTATGGTTCCCAAATTTATGCACCCGCCTAATTTTGTTTAACCAATTATTGCACACTTTCTGTAAATCACATAAACTTAATTTCACTTCTCAAATATCACTCAGTTTGTCCCCTATATGGTATATTTTACTGTTTTTGTATCCAAACAGTTAATGATTTCTAAAGGTAAATCAGGAAAATTAACAAGGCTGCCCTAAGTGTCACACCCCACTGTATATCACACAGAAGCACTCAGCAACTTTCTGTTAACCCTCCACTTTACAGGAACAACAGGGATAAAAATCAGGTTTTCGTAGGAATTTTAAAAATATTTCTATGCTGAATTTATTCAAGCCTAATTTAAACAAAGAAATAATTTTGGACATTTAAATAAATTTAAACTTTTTATTGATTCAACAAATAGTTTAAAAATGTAATGACTGAACTAATGAAGTCAATAGATTTGAACTGAAGTGTCTCTGACGGACGCAAAATTTCTTTCCTTTCTTTTCCAACATCATGATTGTTAATGAATTAGAAAATACAACTTTTAAAAGCCTAACAGCCTGACATTGTGTTTCTGTGGAGGAACTACTGTTTGTACATTTCATTTGGTCTGATTTCTTTTAGCTCTGCCAGCTCTGATCCGGTGGCCAATTCGTCTCTTCTGCTCTATAACTGGTGAGTTTGTTCAGGTGGATGTGACCTAATTGTCCTGCTGACATCAGAGTAATAAGAAGTACTTGCTGCAGTATTAGAATAAATCAGAAAAGATGTTTTGTTGTTTCTGCCACAGGTCTGTCAGCTCTCTGGGGCTGGGTGAGCCACCTCGTGGGAACACTCCATGGTATGAATTATTCAAACAAAAATCAGTCAAGTCAAATGACATGCCGACCAGGGAGGAGCAACAGTTTTTAAATAGTCAAACCCTAGTTAAAATTGACGTTATCAAAGGATTAACAGAATAATTTTAATGATTGCAGCAGTTTGTTTTTCCTGGTAGTGATGCATCAAGCTATTTGCTAACGGTTGTTTAGCGGTTGTGGTGCTGTTTTCAGTGCAGCACTTGCTCCGCTCACACCCTTCTGGAAACAACAGAAAACAAAGAGCACAGGGAGACACAGGAGGACCAAAACTGATGGTGAGAACCATACAATGAGCCAGTAACCATGTTTCCATCAAGGCTTTTTGATACGCATTTAGAAGTGTCGCATTAAAAATGTGAAAAAAGTCGGATGGAAACAACAAAATTCAAAAAAAAAAAATCCTCAATTCGCTAAAAAGTTTTTACGCTCGCTTGAGGTGGTTTTGGATGATTCACAAAGTAGTTAATGCATAAAACAGGAGATGGAAACACGTTTGCTGAATAAATTCTGACGTACCGAACATTTACCTCACGTGACGTTCAGCTGTTTCCGCTTGCCTGCCTCGTCCCGACGTAGTTGCACGTGCCTTTCCACTGCGTAGTTTAACATTGCGTTTATTTCCCTACGTCCCCTGGCAGCGTTAAACATAGCATGTACTAGATGAATAGATAGAATAATTACAACTTGACCAATAGCAAGGCATTCACGAAAAAAATCACTCCATTGTCCCAAGATGATTAGCCTCTGCTAGTTAGCAAGTTTCACTTCCTGTTTACTACTGCAGAGCTTGTCGCTGATGTGTGACGTACTCACGTGTTGCGTAGCCTCGTCTGATGTAATCATGCATTGCGTAGCCTCGTCTGACGTAATCACGCGTTGCGTAGCCTCGTCTGACGTAATCACGCNTTGCGTAGCCTCGTTTATTCGCATCAAACAGTCAAGAGGGAAACTAGATGGAAATAGTCTAGATTTGAATTTTTATTTATTTAATCTTTTGCAAATTTTGAAAAGTTCGGTTAAAAATTCACTCTACAACTGGATGGAAACACGATTGTGAGGTCATGGTGACAAGTGATTGGTTAAATACAAACTGAATGAAAGAAAAAATGAACAACACCTGGGGGAGAACTGATTAGACTGACAGGTGAGAATGGTTAAGACGACAGATAAACAGACTGAGGCAAGATGAGAAATGAAAACACAGTGAACACAAGAGGGAGACAGAACACCAGACATAGATCCCTACAGTACCCCTCCCCCCACACCGATCTAGTCTGTAGGCATGACACATAAAAACAAACACTATCTGAATATCAGGAGTTTGTTGTTGGCAGTGGTGGGCACTAGTTCCCTAAAGCGCAAAAACGGTAATTGCAGACCTGAATTTCTCCTTTGTACTTTAGAGGTTTTACTAATTTCTTCAAATGAGGTGCGGATTTGTGCTTTCTACATTTAGAATTGTGTAGTGTTAATCACAAATAATGTTTCGAATTCGATCATTAAGTTTATCTAAAGAAATTATAAAGAGCCGTGTATCCATTATGTCTTGTAGCCACATAATTCATTAAAGTTTTATCATCATTTTACTTTAACATTGGAGAGGAAAGCTGTCTGTTTCCACACAGTAGAGCACCACTGTGTGGAAACAGCGACCCCTCAGGCAGCATTGTGTTCACAGAGTTTAGTACCCTCGCTGACTGTCCTTCTGTGGGACGGTTTTCATTTAATAGTCCCACAATTCTTTGCGTGGCAGGAAGCAATTGGGTGGGTGACAGTCTTTCTGCGGTTCTGATCTGCAGAACCATGCTCAGCTGTGCAGTTTGTACCTCCTCTCTCCGAGGGACACCGCAGCAATAAATAATAAATAAAGAAACATGGAGCAGTTTAAATTCACGCTCTTATTTTGAAATGAACGGATCCCTGTTCTTGTTCCTGTAGCCTACCCAGAATGCATCACTTCAATTTTACAATAAACTGTTTAAAATTGCTAACATTTCTGCATGTTTTCTTACCGAAGCCCAGCCATATACATAAGAAAATGACCAAGAAGCACCAGAACTAGCAATCAACTTTCTTTATTTTAAACACCATGTCTCAAAAGTGTGTATCAACAAATCACCTCCCCATACCGCGACAAAATGTGTTACTCTGTGAAAGGAAACGATTTTTCCACTAGTCAGCAGTAAAGTGCTCACATGTCTCTTTAATACTGTAATTTTTTTCTGGTAAACAGAGACAAACTTGCACTTGTGTTTATTTTCCACTAAATATTATTGAGCATTAGAGATGGGATATATGGCTCTTTGAAGGGATCTCGGTCTTGGGGAGCTGTTTATTTCATAGAACCATTCAAAAGAGCCGTTCAATTTTGAACACGTTACGTCATCACGTAGGGAAATATGTCATCACGTAACGTACGTGGGTGGAACCATGTTTTTGTTAAGTGAAAACATCATATATGGTACATATATGACGTATTTACTCGCCATCCAGAGTCATCTTGTTCCTTCCACATTGGGTTTTTACTGCTGCCTGAGACATTCACTCATCGTTCATCGTTGGGCACATTCTTCCTTTGTAGTGGCTCCGATGCTAACTAATCCTCTCTAGTTCCCTCCCAGTATATACTGTATGTATACACACCTGGTATACATGTAAATACCATGTTTTCAACAGTTAACAGTTTGTATTTAACACTTGTTCTTTATTAAATAGCTGAATAACAGATGGGCGGTAGGCAGATGGGACCAGGGGGAGCAGAATGGGGGTGAGGGTGGAGAGGTGGATTATTTGAAAAAATAATAATAATATTATTGAATTACTGACTAATTTTATTTTTATGTTTGCTTAAAATGCCCATTGCTAATGCTGACTTTTCCACCTGTACCTCAGTAATTCGGAGGCTGTTTAAGTGTCTTTCTTGGATTTGGCGGTTTATGGTCGGTAAGTGCTACTTTTCTCTCTGTTAAATGTTTACTCTTTATTGGAAATTTTTTTATTAAAGTCTAATAAATAAAAACCGTGAAGGAAATTTTGTGTCTGATTAACTGAATTTTAGATCCATTGTTATATTCAACAATTTGTGGTCAAATTACAGTCATGGGATTCATCCAGTCTCTATCAATGTGTCCCACTCTGTAACATCAACAAAGATTGTTTAAGATTGCATTGTCTGATGCAATGGTACTGCCCCCAGGGTGTGACCAGGAAGTTTGGGTTTAGATATGTGGAAGACTTTTGAAGGGAAGTTTCATCTTCTCTTTTTAGTTCAGTCGGCAACAGATGCTCCTGCTTAGAGGGTTGTAGTTGTTTTGTTACTGATAAGAGCCAAGGCCTCAAACACACAGGCTCTGACTGGCAGAAAGCGTGGAGTCGACTGAACGGAGCTTTTTTAAAGGAGAGAATCAAGTTGATTTTCTGCAAACTTTTTCTTACTTCCAATTCTGAACACATTTACACATTACATTACAACAGCTATGTCAGTGTTACATCTGAATAATAAAGCCTTTGATTACAGTTTAATCCTGTTAATTTCTAACCTCTTACCTCCTCAGCCTTTTCCTCCAGGCTGAAGTGGATGCTTCCAATCATCAGAATCATCACAGGTCATTTCACTGTTTCTTTAGTTTTAAAATAAACATTATCTAATAGCTTTTAAAACTAAATACGCTGACCAAAAACCATCCTAACACCCAGACAGAGTGGTGGGAATAAAATCAACTTTACATGTTAGAAGGTCATGTGACTGATGATGATATAAAGGTTAATAGGCCTGGAGGTGGAGTATGTTGGCGAGCGCTTGGTGTTTAGGCTTTCACCCATGGAGCCTGACACAGCCTGAAGAGGAGATGTGGATCCCCCTTCCCATGGGCTCACCACCTGTGGGAGGGGCTGTAGGTCAGGTGCATTGTGTGCTGGGCAGTGGTCGAAGGCAAAGACCTTGGCGGTCTGATCCTCGGCTACAGAAGCTGGCTCTAGGGAGGTGGAATGTCACCTCTCTGGTGGAGAAGGAGCCTGAGCTGGTGTGTGAGGTTGAGAGGTTACGACTAGGTATAGTTGGACTCACCTCAACGCACCGCTCTGGCTCTGGAACCAGTCTCCTGCAGAGGAGTTGGACACTCTTCCACTCTGGAGTTGCCCATGCTGAGAGGCGCCGAGCAAGAGTGGGCATACTTATTGTCCACTCTTCCAATAAAGAGTCCACATACGTTGGGGTTCACCCCAGTGAACGAGAAGGTAGCCTCCCTCCGCCTTTGGGTGGGGGGATGAATCTTGAATGTTGTTTGTGCCTATGAGCCTAACAATAGTTCAGTTTACCCACACTTTCTGGAGTCTTTGGAGGGGGTGCTGGAGAGCGCTCCTAACGGGGACTCCCTCGTTCTGCTGGGGGACTTCAACACTCACGTGGGTAATGACAGTGAGACCTGGAGAGGCGTGGTTGGGAGGAAGCCCCCCCCCCCCGATCTGAACCCGAGCGGTATTTTGTTATTGGACTTCTGTGCTCGGGCACTCGGGTGAAGAGAGGGGCGGAGCTGTCAACTGACCACTACCTGGTGGTGAGTTGGCTCTGGTGGTGGGGGAGGATGGTGGTCAGACCTGGCAGACCCAAACGTGTTGTGAGGGTCTGCTGGGAACGTCTGTCAGAGTCTCCCGTCAGACGGAGCTTCAACTCACACCTCCGTACAAACTTCGAACACGTTCCGGGGGAGGTGGGGGACATTGAGTCCCAGTGGGCCATGTTCCATACCTCCATTGTCGAGGTGGCTTCCCTGAGCTGTGGCCGTAAGGTTGTCGGTGCCTGTCGTGGTGGCAACCCTCGAACCTGCTGGTGGACACCGGGGGTGAGGGATGCTTTCAGGCTGAAGAAGGAGTCCTATCAGGTCGTTTTGGCCTGTGGGACTCCAGAAGCAGCCGATAGGTATCGTCAGTCCAAGCGGATTGTAGCTCAGGTGGTCGCTGAGGCAAAAACTCAGGCGTGGGAGGAGTTTGGAGAGGCCATTGAAAATAGTCCATGTGCTAGGGTGGCTCACCGTGCTCCTGCCCCCCAGCTGAACTTCTCTGGTGTTTTCACGTACCCTATGGTTCACTTTCAGAAAAAGCATGTTAACAGAAAAAAATTTGGTACACACCCCTTTTCTATTGAGACCATCAAAATTAGGGGTTCGGGGACCTTAACTGACAATAACTTCGCTATAAACCAACCAAAGTTTACAATCAAGGTATCAGCAGATTTGTATTGATTAGTTCTTTGATTTACATGACTTTTCATTAAACAAATATGCGCTCGATGATGTTATCAGGGGGTCAAAATGTCACAACCCCAACAGAAGATGAAAATTTTCATCTTTTTAGTCTGTAGATTGGGGTGGGTCACCATGCACACCCCACTACTGAACTTTTCAGGTATTTTCATGTACCCTAGGGTCCACTCTTTAAAAAAAACATGTTAACAGAAATAAAGTTGGGTCTCACTGCCCCCTAGGGACCGCTTTTGACCACACCCCTTTTCCATTGTGACCATCAAAGTTAGGGGTACAGGGACCTTAACTGCCAGTGTCAAACTCCAGTCTTCGAGGGCTGCTATCCTGCATGTTTCAGAGGTTTTCCTGCTCCAACATACCTGACTTTGATGGTTGGGTGATTAACAGGCTTCTGCACAATTTGAAGAGTTAATTCAATCAATGAATCAAGTGTGTTAGAGCTGGAAAATCTCTAAAACATGCAGGATAGCAGCTCTCAAGGACTGGAGTTTGACACCCCTGCTATTTACCAACCAAATTTTAAAAACAGGGTATCAGCAGGTCCGTATTGATTAGCTTTTTGATTTAAATTACATTTCATTAAACAAATATGCAAACAATGATGTCATCAGAGGGTCAAAAGTCACAACCCCAACAGAAGATGATTTTTTTTTCATCTTTTATCTGAGTTTACCACACAGATCCTAAACATTCATCTTATTTAGCCATTTCGTGCACCTAAGGATCCACTTATTCAGAAAAAAGTCTGTTAACAAAATAAAAGTTGTAGGGACTACTCCACAGGGTCCAGTTTTTGACCACAGCCCTACTCATTTTGTGCACAGTTCAGAATAACCAGGATGTCAAACTTACATGTAGATTCACCATGTCAGAATAACATGTCATAAATCTGGTGTTAATTGATAGATATTGACGTGGTCTATCACTTAGATGTGCTTTTGTTGATTATTAATGCAACAGGTCATGTTACCAGCCAGGAGTTAAAAGTAACACATTAGACCATTGGTGAACATTTAGAAACAAGTGTTAGTTGAAACTGAAACTGCACAGTGAGCCACCCAAGCCCATGGACTAAAATGATTTTGAGGTGATTCTGGTCCACCATCCGGCATCTCAGGGGGGAAAGTGGTTCACCACCAACACTGTTTATAGTGGGGATGGTGCGCTGCTGACAACTCAGAATACTTCAAAGACCTCCTCAATCCTACCGACACGTCTTCTGATGAGGAAGCAGAGCCTGAGGACCCTCTGTCGGACTCTCCAATCTCTGGTGCTGAGGTCACTGAGGTGGTTAAAAAGCTCCTCTGTGGCAGGGGGCCGGGGGTGGATGAGATTCATACTTTAATGTACTTTACTGCGATTCACTTCATGTTACTCTACTGTACTTTGCTGTACTTTACTGTACTTTACTGCATGTTACTGTACTTTACTGTACTTTACTGTACTTTACTGTATGTTACTGTACTTTACTGCAATTCACTTCATGTTACTCTACTTTGCTGTACTTTACTGTACTTTACTGTATGTTACTGTACTTTACTGTACTTTACTGCATGTTACTGTACTTTACTGTACTTTACTGCATGTTACTGTACTTTACTGTACTTTGCTGTACTTTACTGTACTTTACTGTATGTTACTGTACTTAGCTGAACTTTACTGTACTTTACTGTACTTTACTGCATGTTACTGTACTTTGCTGTACTTTACTGTACTTTACTGCATGTTACTGTACTTTACTGTACTTTACTGCATGTTACTGTACTTTACTGCATGTTACTGTACTTTACTGTACTTTGCAAAATGTTTGAGAATTTTTCCTAAAGAGAACTTCTCACCTCTGTAGGGTCATCAGGAGAAGAATCCCAGTCTGTCACTGGTGATCTCAACTTGATAGACCTGAGACTGGTCCTTCTGGGGCCAAGTGGAGGAGGGCGGACCTCCCTAGCAGATATTTTTTTAGAGAAAAGTGAGACAAGAGATTGCAAGGATCCTTTAAACCGGAGCATTAAGAGGAGCAGAGTCCTGGATGGTAGAGTACTCACCGTGGTTAACACCCCAGATGTTTTAGGGTCTCTTCTGGGGAACCGCATCAGAGTCCAGGAAGCTCTGAGGAGTCTTCAGTTCACCAGTCCTGGTCCACATGCCTTCCTGTTGGTGGTCCGTGTCACAGGCTCCAGCAGTGAGGACAAGCAGGAAATCTGCCAGGCAATCCGAGCCACTCTGGAGCTGTTTGGTGATGAAGTCAAAGACCACATCCTGCCAGTGTTGACCCACACAGACCATCTGGCTGGAGGACAGACTATAAAGCAGCTGCTTGAGGAGGACACAGGGACTCTGAGAAGACTTCTGTCTTTGTGTGGACAGAGACCAGAGCTCGTGGACATCAGGCCAGACCTGCCGCAGGAGGCAAAGAGGGAGCTGCGCCGGCGTTGTGTGGAGCGTGTGCTGGAGATGAGGGAGCTGAGGGGACCTTTCATCCACGAGCTGCAGAGGAGGGAGGACAGCCTGAGGGAGAAGCTGCTCTCTGACATGACCTCTTCTCTGCTTCAAAAACTGGACCACACTTAAAGAAAGAAGCAGGACATTTAAGATCATGGTGTTTCTGTGAGTCTGTGTGTTAATATTAAATTCAAATCAATTGTAATAGTTTAATTTAAAGGGATGTTCTGTTAGTTAGTTAGTTAGTTAGTTAGTTAGTTAGTTAGTTAGTTAGCTACTGAATGTGTGACATTGGTCATATGAAGCAAGGAGCGGAGAAAAGTGCAGAATCTTTGTCCTGGCTAGCTTACCTATTAGTAGTGATGTTCGATACTGCCAGTTTTCTTTCCGATACTGATACCAAGTGAAATTTGGCTGGTATCTGCGATACTGATTCGACACTGATACTTTGTGATAACACACATAATGTGTCTGGTAAATCTTAAAAAGTACTGCTTTATAAATAATACCTGACATAGTAAGTCATTTAAAAGTCTTTCTAACCCTAACCTTATTTGTTTAGCACAATTTAATATTCTTATCTTAAGAAATACAGTATAATAATTTTTGAATAGTGAATAAAGGTGAGAAAAAATATTTTCAAAGTTGTTACTTTGTATATTTTGTAGCATTGTTTGTGTGTTTGCAAGAAGGTCCCTGTGGAGCTAATGCTGTTTGGGGGCCATGGCATGAAAAAGTTTGGGAACCCCTCATCTAGAATCTAATTACAGACAGTCAGATGAAACAGATTTTATGTTAAAATGACCTGCCATACTTCTAGAGACTGAGTGACTGACTGAAAACCTGCCGCTGGAATAAAAAGTAGTTCCCTCCAACCACATGTTTAAGACAAGATTGGAATAGTTTAGTTATTTTCCACTATTTTCCTGTTAATGATAAACATTATGTGAAATGACTAAAGTATCAAAGTATCGATATTTTGATTTTAGTATCGATTCTAGAACACAAAGTTCTGGTATCGGTAGTATCGATATTTCAGTATCGATCTGCACATCACTACTTGCTAGCCAACTGAGTTTCTGTTGTTTATTAATGTAAGTAAGGATAGACTAGGGCTGCAACGATACAGAAAATTCATGATTCAGTTCGATTCTTTAGTCTCACGGTTCGATATTTTTTTGATACAAAAAGAGAAATGTCCATGCCCCTTTTAA